TTTGTGCATTCAGTTTATGAAGTGCAAGATTTGTATCTCAAGTTGCATTCTAAACATTAGTTTTCATTACATAAATAATATCCTTATTAACAAACTCAAGAACCTTTTCAAGAATAATATATTTTAGATCTAAGAACATTATGTACAAGTTTATTAGGAAATGCAAATTTTACATGTAAATTAACATTTAAAAAAATCAGAATTATGTTTGTAATATCCTTAATTACAAATGCATTTATTAACAACTAAATCAAATTTCTCATTACAAAAAATACAATTATCTGATTAATTTACACATTTATTACAATCTGGAATAATAAACCAATCATATTTTTCATAAATCCCTTCCACTTAAATCTTTTGTTTTACATTTATACATTCTTTACATTACTTACCCTATGAAGATATATACATCTTAATATTAAACACAAAGTTTAAAAATCTGAACATTTTTTACAATTCTCAATGCAATTTAAATATAATTCTATCTTATAGAGGTAATATTATTTTAACATTCAGTACAATTTTCTTATGAATAACAGATAGAACACTCAAATTTACATAATTAGCATCTAAACTCTTCATTATGTAAGATCCAACTTTATATCATCTACACAAGTTTAGCATTAAAGATAACATTTAAGGTATAAATTTTCACTAAAATAATATCCATCTCTACAATTACATAAGTTTTATTCTAAAATATATTTAATATCATCAAGACAAGATAGACTATTATGAGCATTTAAGGAACAATTTAGACACGGTGTTTAACATTCATGACATGAATAATTTTTCATGTAATATCCATTTTAAAATTAACATTAATTGTTGATTAATATCTGATTTGTATCTAAACATGTTAAAAATCCATTTTTTTTGCAAATTGCACATAATGGTTAACAAGGATCACAGAAACCTAAGAAATCAGTATAAAAGGAATCTTTGAATAGACAATTGAAATTTTCTTTAAGAATATGATTGTTATCATTCTAAGAATCACAGTGATTCTAATTTACTGAACAAGTTTTGCAAGGTAATTAAAATTTTACACAGTGGTTATTCTAATCACTCATCCATCCTTAATAACATTCGCATTTATCATTTTCAATCATTTGATGAATATCTAAACATTATGTACAAGTATCATTAGTTGTTTAACATTTAAAAGACGGAGAAACAGATTATTAACATAAGTTTCCAATCAAAATAATAGTATCTTAGCAAATATATTAACTCATTGATAATAAAATGATCATAAATGCAAGAGAAAGTTTATGAATTTTTACAAGTTTAAAAAGTTCAAGTATATAATTCACATTTCGATTGATTATAATTTAAGTCTTAATTGTATTATTGATAGTGTATCATGTAAAATATGGATGATAAATATATTATTAATATTTTAATGATTCATCCATAAAATATCAATTTTAATAATTAAATTATAATAAAATTTATCTGATTTAGTCATTACAAGATAAAATAAATAGTATAATTTAAATTAAATATTTATTTGTTAAATTTATTAATAATTAAATAATAATGAATTAAAAATTTTAATAGAAATAGGATTTTAAATGTAAGGATCATCCTTAAACATCTGCTATTTTCTGGTGTAAATCAATTGATTGTAGAGAGAATAGAATATTTTGCATTAATTGTTAAAAATAATAGAAACATTATTAACATTTCATTGATGATGTTGATGATATTAATTAATTAAACTAATTTTTGATTACTAAATCTAAATAGTCAAAGGATCTTATAACAGAATGTCAACTTTAATATAATTCAACTGTTCAATCATATGAATAATTAATTTCTGGTTTAAACTATAAATTCTGTATATAAGAAGATAAAATTAATGAATTTGAACCTAATTAAGCATTAACAGCACTTGATTCTTTAGTTTTATTTGATGATATGAAGATTCATATTAAATCCAATATAATAGGACCTTTATAGAAAATCTAGAAAATTTTAGATGATCTATATATGCAATTAGAATTATAAACAATAAAATATTAGATTTCTGATTAATAAAGAGCAACAAATTAAATTGATTATCAAAAAGGTTCTTTTTTTTTATATTTATTTTTTTTAGCTATCTCTTTAAATATAATAAATAAATCAAATGATGCAATTCAAATATTTGATAAATTATTATTAATTGATCCCTTTAATTTAGAATTTATGTATTAAAAAGGTTTTTAATTAATAATATTTTAAGCAAATTCATTAAATAAACTAAATAAATAATAAGAAGCATAATAAATATATAAAAATATAATTAAAATCAATCCTTAATATGAATTATCATATTGGAAAATAGGTACTTTTTATTTATTTTTTTAGGTGATATATTAAGAGAATAAAAATCTTATTAAAAAGCTAAAGATTATTATGATAAATGCATATAAATTAATAATAATAATTCAGCAAGTTAATTTGGAATAGGTATTATATCAATATATTATTTTAGGTGAATGTTTAAAAGAGACTTACAAATATAATCAAGCATTAGAATATTACATTAAAGCTATTTAAATAAGTTAATCTAATCAACTCTATATATAATCTTATGGTAAAATTAAATTTAAAGTAATTAGGTGATTGTCTAAGTGAATTAGAGAGATATTAAGAGGCTATAGAAGCTTATGATGTAATTTTAAATAATTAATCTAAAAATGCTGATGCATCTGCTGGAAAAGGTAAATCATTCAATAATAAATTAAGGAATATGTTTATTGTATTTAAATATGTATAAAGAAGCAGAGGTTTTATTAAAAAACTCATTAACTCTGAAATTAGATTGTATCTTAGGATATTATGGATATGGTATAAAATTAAATTAAATGTTAGGATTGTATTTATATTCATAAAATCAATATTAAGATGCAATCAATTATTTTGTTAAAGCTTTGGATATCAATCCATAGCATATTCATTCATTAAATTAGACAGGTAAATTTAATTTAAAATAATCAAAGGTGAATGCCTATATTCAATGAATGATTATTAATAGGCACTTGAATGCTATCAAAAAGCACTTGATATCAATCCATAAAATTTTCCTTCATTAAATGGGAAAGGTAAATTTAATTCAATTAATCAAAGGTGAATGCCTATATTCAATGAATGATTATTAATAGGCACTTGAATGCTATCAAAAAGCACTTGATATCAATCCATAAAATTTTCCTTCATTAAATGGGAAAGGTAAATTTAATTCAATTAATCAAAGGTGAATGCCTATATTCAATGAATGATTATTAATAGGCACTTGAATGCTATCAAAAAGCACTTGATATCAATCCATAAAATTTTCCTTCATTAAATGGGAAAGGTAAATTTAATTCAATTAATCAAAGGTGAATGCCTATATTCAATGAATGATTATTAATAGGCACTTGAATGCTATCAAAAAGCACTTGATATCAATCCATAAAATTTTCCTTCATTAAATGGGAAAGGTAAATTTAATTCAATTAATCAAAGGTGAATGCCTATAATTAATGAATGATTATTAATAGGCACTTGAATGCTATCAAAAAGCACTTGATATCAATCCATAAAATTTTCCTTCATTATATGGTAAAGGTATCCATTCATTGAATATTTAGCCTACTGCTTAATGTAATATGGTTAATATGGAGATGCATAATTACTTTTAGAAAATGCATATTAATTATCACCTGATAATAAAATAATAGAAGAATTGCTATGTATATATACACATCTAAATAAGTTTAATGTATCAATTTAAATCAATGAGAATGAATATAAATATATATTCAAATATATGTTGAAATCATAAAATTTTCCCTAAGTTTTTTTTTACATTTAAATATTTTATATCAATAATTTTCTAAAATTCTTTATTTATTTAACATGACTTCATTAAGTCCATCAGAAAACAGATGAAAAGTATTTTGGATTACAAAATACAAATTTACTTAATACTTTTTGAAAGTGTTTTGGGCTTTTGATTAAACATGTGCTTAAGGAAATCTATTATTATTAAAATTCAAAATTGTATTTGATTATATCTCTCAAATAAATTTGGAGTTTGCTTTTTATTTAATAGATTATTATCTTTTTTATCTAATAATAATAAAAATTGATCATAAAAAGATCAGTAAAATCTTTTTGTAGCAAATTTTGTAATTTCATCAATTTTATATAATAACTTCAGTATTATTTTTGCAAATCATTTTACAATATTTTTTATTATTCTATCAATTTAATCATTAAAATGATAACCTCTTTCTCTAGAGATATATATATGTAAACTCCTTTTAGATTGAAAACTTCAAATGAACCCCTATAAATCTTTATTATATTCTTAACTTTTCATTATTGACTTTCTTTTAAAAATCCATCAAAAATTGTTTTAAGTGTTGTGACTTTGTCTAAATAATCTAATTTAAACTTGTATATAAAAATCCATTTCTTATTTTAATTATTTTATCATGTTGTTCATCATTTCCAATAGCCTATTTTATATTCAAAATTGCATACCAAATCTAAGATTTTATGTATGAATTTTAAATTTAAGTTATTACTCTTACAACTTTATTAATACTTTTAAAGTCTCAAGATTTTGTAATTTATTAGGGAATTTCAACCAAAGCAGATCAAAAAACATAACAAATAGCAATCCCCTCGATCATCTTGAATAATATCAATTAAATTAATTGAAGATTAATTTTATATAGATTTTTGCATGAAACAATCTAATTGAACCTGGCTACTAAAATATTTATTTAGTTTTTTTATTGTATAGTAAAAGGGTAGTAGACATCAAAAAGAGACTAAAATCCTCCAAAACCAAGGAATTTTTGACCTTAGTGGACTAAAGATGTCACAAAATTATTTCTTCTTAAACTGCTTAAATAAAAAATTTACCTTAAATTAGATTTAAATTTATCAGGATGTTAAAATTAATATTTTGTATTGAAAAAACAACTGATATTACAATCCTAATTTCTAAATCACTAATTTAAAGTTCTAATTTGCATTTCAAAATGAGATTTTATATTTAAATATTTTTGATAGATAATCATACTTATTCTAAATATTCATTCAAAAAGGAGATAAATTGTTGGTTAGGTATAGTTATATATTTAAAAGTTGTTGAACATTTTTGCTTATGATGTCTGATTTTATTTTATAATCGAAATCATTTTAATTAAGGAAATGGATTTGTTTAAAACAACAGCTATACATATTAAATAATAACTTTCTTTCTATGAATTGATTTCCAAAGATTTATTTATCTCAAATTAAATAGAATGGATGGTAGTTTATTGTGTTATTTGAGTACTCAGCAAATAGTGTTAAAATACCTACCAGAAAATGATTCTTGAATATCATTTGTTGAATCCTGAAATATATAATAGAAGTTATATACCTGGGCATATTTCTTTAAGCTTGCAAGAATTATTACTTAAGACAATATATTCGTACCTTGTAATCTTGATGGCTTTAATCTTTAGGCTTTTAAATTCTTTTTTTTAATAATCCTTTTAGAATATTAAATGAGTATTTAAAATATGGTCTAGGTGAAATTTATAAAAAATTCCAATTATACAAAGAATTATTACGCAGATTTCTTTATGATTTCTATTCCAGAATCTAATTGTTTAAAAAGAAAAATTAATGAGATTATGCTAAAATGTGAAAATTTGTATATTTATAAAATAATATTTTAATAAATATATATGATACTATTTCATAACATTAGATGCCATTTCTTATAATTTCATTCAAGTATTTTATCATGCTCCTTCTTCGTAAAATTTTACTATAATTTCTAAGTTATTCTTTTCTTTTTAATAAAAGTTCTAGGTGGTTTATACATTTAAACTTTAGTGATAATTAAAAAGAATGAAAACCTTTAGAAATATAAAACTAAAGTAATTTTGAAAATAAATCTATTTTCAGAAAATTTGTAAATGTCAATTTTAAATCTTGAAAGGCTATCTTTTTTGTTAAAATCCTAGGTTAGATAAATAGCATTACCATCATTATATATTTTTCTAAACTAGGAATTATCAATTTTATACTCATACTCAAAACTCTTAAGAAAATATTGTTTATAAAAGTTCATTTATAATATCTCCAATTCTGTTAAAATTTAGAAGTAGAATTATTTTAAAGTTATAAAATTCAGTTATAGAGATATTAAACTAAAAAATGATTTTTTCTGAATCTCATTTAATTCTTTTGATTTGTTTTAAACAAACCCTAGTAAATTGAGAGATATTTAATTATATTTAGATTCTAATTGATGAGATGCAAAAACTTAAGTTTAACAGTTCTAAAGTAATGAATACAAAATAAAATAAATTAATATAATCATTCTTATAATCCATCTATTTATTTACAACAATTTTCACCTCATAAAAATAAAAAAAAGCCAAATTTCTTAGAATTATTGATAAATTTATTCAGAATTTATAGGATATTGAAATTTTAATTTAATAAATATATATCTGAATAGGGGAATCATTGGAAATTTCATTTACTTGATCATCGATTATCTTATTAATTGAGTTTTCATACTCTTAATAAAACTATCAATTAGAATTTTAACTTCTTCTAATATTATTATTTCTCCAAAGCTTGATTAAATATTTTATATTCTCTTAGATCTGTCTTCGTAATCCTTTTGTAAGTTTTCAAAGATATCTTATGTAAAAGAGTCTTGTAAATCTTATCTATTTCTGAATTATTTAAAAAATTAATAAGAAGCTACTTAGTATTATTAATATATTCATTATTGTTATTCCTCTTAGTTACACTCCAATAACATAATTATAACTTTCAATATTATCTAAGAATATCTTCTGTTAATATTGAAGTAAAAATTCCTTATTTACAGTTATATTATTCTTATTTTACAAATTAAATAATTTAATTATCATCCTCTTTATGAATACTCTGATAATTCAAATTATAGATTTCTTCTCAGCTAATTTTTTAAGCTAACTATAATTTCATTATTAAGGTTACTTCATATTAGGAAGCATTCATCATATATGTCATAAATCTATATATATATTCTCTTAATAATTTTACTTAAATTATTGTTTATTCTCATCTTATTCAGGATCAATAATGCTATCAAAATCTATCTCTCTAATTTCTTCCAATTAATGATCTGGTAAAGAAATTCTATTCTTACCTAGCAAAACAAAAAGCATTTATAATTTACTTTTTTCAATTCCTAAACAAATTTTACAATATCTGAACCTTTTAAGATTTCAATCTCCTTCACAAAAATAATTTAGATATTGTTTTTATGAATTGTAGTATCAGCATAATAATAATTAAATTCATATCAATCTTCATATAATCTCTTCTATATTAAACCACTATATCTTATTCACGATTAGCAGCACCTAATAATTCCACATATTTTTTCTTCACTGTATATTTAAACTACATCAACAGATTAATTGTTTCCAAATATATCCTTATTAGGTCCTTCTAGTCTCTACAACATATCTGTATTCAATATTAATTAAATATTAAATCTAAATTACCTTGAAGACGTCATCTAAATTTGAAAGTGACCTTAACTTATTCATCTGCAAATAGTCTGCCAGTATAGTTTAATTATGTAAATATATTTTAACTTCTTTTTTAATTATTGAATTTTGAAAGGAAAAATAATATTTAGCGCTTTTGATTATTTAGGTGATATGCTATGATATTCTAATTAAGACATAATTGTTGGATAAGCAATTAATTATAAAATAAATAAATTTCAATATACCAACAGGTCATAAAAGAGTCAGAACCAGAGATACATTAGCTGATGGGCATTTCAAAAGATACACTCAATGTCAATTTTACATTTCTGATCAAGAAATGGTTAGTAAGGTCCATTAAACCATTTATGTGTTTCAAAAATAAAATTTTTTGAAAGATTACTTGAAATTATTTATGAAGAACTTTTAAGTGCATAAGCATCTTGCAATATGGGATCAAATTTAGAGATTTATGAATAAGATAATATAAAAATTATAATAAGTAAGAATATTTCATTATATTGATTTATTTTGAATATAATGAATAATAAACAAAGAATAAATTATAATTAATTGAAAGATATCTAAGTATTCAAAATAAATGATTAGATCAAATTTTGAGTTTATCATTTATTTGAGATTAACTTATGATACATTATTACAATTCAAAGTGTTTTTATTGCTTAATTCTTTGCAAATTTTCAACCAAATGATTTATTCTGATATGTTTGAACTACCCTAATTATTTAATTATTTATTATATTTTGCTTTTTCCATATTTTTGAACATAAGTTTTATATCATGTGAATAACATAGAAATTTTTAAGATCAAAGTTAAAACAATATTACATTAAAAATACAAAACTACAAATAAAAACTAAGAGAGCACATTTGTTTTGGCAAAATTTGATAAAAAAGTGATTATTTTGGAGGAACCAATTTTAAAAAAAAAACCTCACCTTTTTTAATTTGTTGAATTCTTTTTTAAATACATCATATGAAAATTCATATTCACAGTTATTATTAAGTAATTTTTTTGCATAAACCTGTACAAAAACGTAATCATAATCTTTATTTTCATTTTACATTAGATGCTCTTCATGTTTGTTAATAATTCTTTTTCATTTCATATTTAATTAGCTGGTTTTATTATATTTTTTTACTCGTATCTTAAAAGTTTAATTCATAAGAATACTTGATTTTATTAAATTAAAAAGATTTCTCTATTAAAGAGAAGGGTCTTTTAATCTATTCAATAACACTTTCAAAAACTTTACTTAATATTACTTTAAATCTCTGAATAATTAAATAATTATCATGGGACTTTATGTGAATGATTATGAATCCCTCAAGCTTCATTGAGGAATTGTAAAATAATAATTAATGAGTTTAGGAAATCTCCTAAAATCAAATACTCCATATATTCATTCATTTCTCAGGATCTGTGAATTAAGATATTGAGAATGAATCATATTTATTAACAATCTTTCCAATATACGAAAATTTGTAATTTAAGGATTCCAAATTAAAACAGAATTCCACTCAATTTTAAATTAATTTAAATTCTTAAGGTTAATTAACTGATTTTTATTGGAATTCTTAAATCATTTTAGCAGTAGAGTGTATGCAATATTCTAGTTTCCAAAAATTAATTGAAGAAAACTTGTTTTTTTAAATGAAATTCAATCTCTCAACAAAAATAATGTAACATTTATTTCTAAATATGACAAAACTTTTTATGAAATTTATTTACATAATATTTNATACATTAGCTGATGGGCATTTCAAAAGATACACTCAATGTCAATTTTACATTTCTGATCAAGAAATGGTTAGTAAGGTCCATTAAACCATTTATGTGTTTCAAAAATAAAATTTTTTGAAAGATTACTTGAAATTATTTATGAAGAACTTTTAAGTGCATAAGCATCTTGCAATATGGGATCAAATTTAGAGATTTATGAATAAGATAATATAAAAATTATAATAAGTAAGAATATTTCATTATATTGATTTATTTTGAATATAATGAATAATAAACAAAGAATAAATTATAATTAATTGAAAGATATCTAAGTATTCAAAATAAATGATTAGATCAAATTTTGAGTTTATCATTTATTTGAGATTAACTTATGATACATTATTACAATTCAAAGTGTTTTTATTGCTTAATTCTTTGCAAATTTTCAACCAAATGATTTATTCTGATATGTTTGAACTACCCTAATTATTTAATTATTTATTATATTTTGCTTTTTCCATATTTTTGAACATAAGTTTTATATCATGTGAATAACATAGAAATTTTTAAGATCAAAGTTAAAACAATATTACATTAAAAATACAAAACTACAAATAAAAACTAAGAGAGCACATTTGTTTTGGCAAAATTTGATAAAAAAGTGATTATTTTGGAGGAACCAATTTTAAAAAAAAAACCTCACCTTTTTTAATTTGTTGAATTCTTTTTTAAATACATCATATGAAAATTCATATTCACAGTTATTATTAAGTAATTTTTTTGCATAAACCTGTACAAAAACGTAATCATAATCTTTATTTTCATTTTACATTAGATGCTCTTCATGTTTGTTAATAATTCTTTTTCATTTCATATTTAATTAGCTGGTTTTATTATATTTTTTTACTCGTATCTTAAAAGTTTAATTCATAAGAATACTTGATTTTATTAAATTAAAAAGATTTCTCTATTAAAGAGAAGGGTCTTTTAATCTATTCAATAACACTTTCAAAAACTTTACTTAATATTACTTTAAATCTCTGAATAATTAAATAATTATCATGGGACTTTATGTGAATGATTATGAATCCCTCAAGCTTCATTGAGGAATTGTAAAATAATAATTAATGAGTTTAGGAAATCTCCTAAAATCAAATACTCCATATATTCATTCATTTCTCAGGATCTGTGAATTAAGATATTGAGAATGAATCATATTTATTAACAATCTTTCCAATATACGAAAATTTGTAATTTAAGGATTCCAAATTAAAACAGAATTCCACTCAATTTTAAATTAATTTAAATTCTTAAGGTTAATTAACTGATTTTTATTGGAATTCTTAAATCATTTTAGCAGTAGAGTGTATGCAATATTCTAGTTTCCAAAAATTAATTGAAGAAAACTTGTTTTTTTAAATGAAATTCAATCTCTCAACAAAAATAATGTAACATTTATTTCTAAATATGACAAAACTTTTTATGAAATTTATTTACATAATATTTTTTCCTTTCTAAATTGCATTTAAATGAATTTAAAGATCTGCTTTGTTTTAAAAGATGAGATGAAAGAACTTCAGCTAAACTTTTAATAATAATAACTCAATACTTTAAAATCATTATATTTAAAACTGCAACGTTCTTCTAAAAGCAATTTCAAGAACACTTTAATGTATTTAATTGAAAAGGATATTTATGATTTTTAATGAACTTAAATTGTGGAATGAAGAAAGCTTTAAGCTTGAAAAGATTTTTAGTAATAAAAATAATATTCAAACCAATTCAAAAATCTTAATAAAGCTACATTTGGTAGGAAGCCTAATATAATTAATATTGATATTTCAAATTAAATTTAAACTTTTTATTAGATAAATTTATTATAGATTTTCTTTAATCATTAAGTTTGATAATTTCAAACATATGATGTAAATATAAATAGACTCTTGAATACTTTTACAAAGCTTTAACGCCTATGAAAAGTTTTACCAGAGAGACATTTAATATAAGAAAAGCAAAGATGCTTATCTAGCATAATATTCGACCTTTGCAGGAATTAAGTACTTCTAAAAGTGAAATTAATAGTGTATATTTTATGATAAATACACATTCTAAAGATATAATAATTATATTTCCTTGATTTGGTTACCGTTATTGATTTTAAGAAAGGAACTGTGGTTATTATAATAAATATTATGATTTTGTATGCTTAAAGTTTCTCTCCCAAGAATTTAGTCATTATGCATTCTTAAATACAAATTGTTTCATTTTTTAAGAGAGTATTAAATTTCCTTAATCTGATTAAGTTTAGATTTATTTCATTAATTCTTTATAATAAATCTATTTTTCTAAATTAAATTTCATTAATTATAAAACTTAAGAATAAATTTACAGAAAGTTTAAAATTCATCTATTGATTTTTCACATAAAATTTCTTGTGATTTATTGTTCAAAATTTTAAAACCTTATTTTTGAAATCTATTAATATCTTCTTTGAATAATCATCATTAAAGATGTTTATTCAGAGAAAGGTTAAATAAGATAAAAATCATTTTTTTCTATGTTTTGAATTATTTTAAATATTACAAGGCTCAATAACTTGAACACTTAGCAGAAATATATAAGTATTTATTTATTTGAATTAATATTTAACTTCAAATTTAAATTAATTCAAGCATCAGAATACTAAACAAATAAATATTTTTAATACTAAACTTTTTGAATAAAACAGCAATAATTGTTTTATTAACCTTCTAATAACGCTCAATAATTTTGAATTAATTAAATTTGGACCTAATTTGTTACAGAAATAACAACTAAGGATTTTCTATTTTAGCTAATGATATAGTGGAATTAAATGATTCAACTAATTTTCAAATATTTCATGGTTATAAGTGAAATAAGATCCAAAAATTTCAAACTTTTGTTTAATCTTCATATTTTTACTTAAACTTTTTTTGTTTGATTTAAACAATAGTCCTTTTCTTATTGGATTTTTAAGGTAGTTTTAGAAATAAAAAAGTTGATGTGAATTAATAAATATTGAGTATTTGAGTTCCTAAGTGACATTATACTAAAATAATAGTTAAAGGTTAATTTAAAACTAAAATTTTGTTCATATAGTTAAAGTCATAAGCATTCTTAATAAGTTTAAATAAAGAAAATTTAATAATAATA